TTTTTTTTTTTTCAGACTGATGAATTATTTTTTTGGCTAAAAGAATATAGGAAATTAAAGCTGAGATGAAACTAACAGTATGAAGGTACTCTTTAACAGTATAGAGGCATATGCATAAAAAATTGAAGAAAAAATTAAAAGACTTAAGCACACACAAAATAATATGCATTCTGGGTGCTGTTGTTAACAAAAAACCTAACCTAATAATCTACCGCATGTATTACTTGCTCTACCTCTGTTCATTGTACTTTCATGCATTGGTTTGTAAGACAGCTAATCAGAACTATACTTTCAATTCTTGACAAACATAACAAACATGCTGATATGAAAAAAAAACTCAAGCACTAAGCAAAATCAGTAAACATATAAAGGTGGCGTATGCAAAACTTGACCCCTTATAATTGTTGGTCAACATCGGGGAAACTTCCCAGAAGTTTTTACTTCTTCTTAACTGTGAAAAACTTATCCAAAATTCAAATAATATAGATTTTTTATCAAAAATGCCCTTGAACTTCTTTTCAGGTTTTTTTTTTTGATTCAGTGTTTTTCGAGGAGGTTACAGCAAAAAGTCATAAATATTTGCATAACACGTTCAGACAACTTCAGAAAAGCGAGAGGAGTGAGGACCCCTCAGACTTTACATTAATGTAACAAAACATCAAAAAACGCTTTTCTTTTTCTTTTTTTTAAATAGTTTAAATAGAATATCAACAGCACAAAGCATGAAATTTCTTGCTTTGTAGAAGCATTTTGAAGAATCAAACATTTTAAAATTATTTTTGCATATTTAACGAAAAACTAGTTGAAATGCGTCGGATTTTGTTTACTTTGACCTTTTTTACTACTCACTAAGAGCTGGCAATGCTAGTAGTTAATTAACCTCGCTTTAACTTCTTTGTGAAGAAAAGGTTTGAGACACGTTGTTTAGGGAAACTTTTTATTAGGTAATATAAGATTCAACCAAAATTTTTGACCTTCTTGATTTTCTTAATCCCACTGAATTTTCAAAAATTTTTTCACAAGCCCTTGAAAAAACCAAAAAAAGTCACCAACAGTTCTCTTAGCGATGAAACAGATTTTTTCCAAAAAACAATAAATGTGAAAAAATTTTTTGCAGAAAACTATCAAGAGTTCTATAAAATTGTTTTGATATTATCGTAACCACTAAGTTCCAGAGTAGTTGCTCAATTTAAAAATGTCTCGGTTTTATTGGTTTTTCAAAATCCTATTGCAGGAAGT